ATGTTTACTACAATCAAGTCACTGAATATAATTTGGATATGCTTTTTTCTGGTTGTTGGAGTTTAGTATTATAGTCTAAATTATGCAGCTGATAACTTCCGATTTTTATTAATTGTAATAAATCCATCAATAGTCCTTACCAACGAAACAGAAGCTTTGGCAATTTAAGCCAATTTGAAAGTTATCTTTGTTTTAATGACAAAGCTTGCAATGAAAGTTTAGTATTTTAAGTTTATGATTAATGGAATCAAAACAGGAATAGCTGCAACTTTGTTGTAATGTACCAAAAATATCCTCGCATACAGGACAAATATTACCCTTTTTCAATCAAAAGTATGTAACATTCTCAGGATGACTTCGTTTCATAGGATAGAATAGATTTTGCATGGTATTTTATCACATTGCAAGAGAATCACTATATTGGAATAGAGGAAGAGTCAGAATTTGTGACCATACATCAGCATATTTTTTCAGAGTAAGATGTCATTGATCCTGAGGTAAATTGTTACACCTTTGAGCTTATGTGCAAAACTGATGGATTATTCACCTTTTTTTTTTTTTGACAAATGGCCAGACCCTTCTGGAAGTGTCTTGCTGTCTATTTGAAATGCGTCTCCCACTCAGCCATTGGTACTGTAGAGTCTCAAAGAGCATTCTCATTTTGTAGAAATGAGGACACTTACTTGTAAGGGGTATTTGAGATGCGCTCTGTATCATACTGTACAGAATTCTGATCAGACTCTGTATCGCTCTGGAACTATAACCTACAGACCTGAAAAGCTTCACCTGCTCAAGTTCCTGTTTCCTAGACTGTTCTTCATACTTTTCAATATAAACACACACAGTTCTAAGTACACTTACTTACTCTTTAATCAGCCTGCAGAGTCTTACATTACAGTAATAATCATCTTGCATTATATACAGACACCTGTATGCTCTTTATCTGCAAAAGAACTTAAAGATCAGCATATTTTGCAGGATTCAAGGTAGCCATTCCTTAGAAGTCTACACAATAGCATAACCTGAGAGAAGGAAAGCAGAATGACACCACCTCTTCCCAGACTTCTCCCAGAGATCAGAAAAGGAAGGAGAATGAAGAAGTCAGTTTGGAACAGCTAGTTTTGGGGACCTGCAGTGACTTCCTCTACCAACATATTTGTTCTTAAACATCTTTTATTCCACTGCAATTAAAACCAGTCGTCAGGTAGCACATTCTGATCAGTACTTCCTTGCATACATATATACATCTTTCTTCTGTAACAGCTGCTCTAAAATTCCTTTCAGAATTGAGTCATTGCACTAGAGAAATACAGTTCTACTACAGAATATTTCTACATGGTGGGCTTGACTTTTTCCCTTCCTAAAATCCAAAAGGGTGTATGAACAAAAATGGTACAACATTACAGTATCACCTATGGATCTCAACCCATTGACTACACATTAGAAAATAAGATGAATTATGCCTTAGTGCAAGCAATTTATTAGTAAAACAAAACTGCTCAATAACCATGATCTCTGCTGAGTGACCTAACAGTCATAAAGCCTTCCTCTATCACAAAAAAAAAACCACACGCAAAGCAAAACCAAGCAGAAACTGCCTATCTGTAACCGTAACCAACTTTGAAAAGCACTGCTCCTAAACATACTAATAAAAAGCTTGATAAATGCACTTTAACTCAGCCATTTTTAATTACAGCATATTTCCATGACTAGGAAACAAAGGTGTTGAAATTCTGCTCCTACCTTCCTGTGTCAAGGCAGCATCTTTGCAAGAACTCCAGAGACTGACCTGGAAATGGTTTTCTGGTTACTTATGCAACAGAAATTTTAATATACCTGTTCTTCAGAGCCTAAAAAACTTGATACAGCTAATGACTGGTAATTATGTTACTCCACAAAACATGTTCCTTAGAACTCCAGTTCCTCTTTCACCAGTCTCATCTTCCTCATTCATAGCCTGTGAGTGCACACTCTCACAGGCTATGAACTATTCAAGGGTGAGCTGCTTTCAGACTCTTGTTACACCTCCTACACTTCTATCAAAATGAATCAAAGAAGGGTTTACAACCCCAGCATTACTCTTTGACCCACAGGCTATTAGTTAATAATATACAGTATAATAAATTCAGGAGACATCCACACAGTAGGATAGCCAGTATCTTGGTAAGTTACCTTTTTCCTTGCTTTGGAACAGAAACTTATCTTGTTTTCCCCAATTCTACATGCATACCAGCCATCACACTGTTCAGCATGCAGCAAATTGATCTCTTTGGCTCCTTAAATTTTTAGGGTTTAATTTCAGAATTTAAATCATGAAGCTACTAACTGTGTACACAAACACAGAAGTTTCAATCCAGCAAATGCTATGATTGTTCCCATGCTATGATCCTGGACCCTGGATTTAGTTACTAAGAAGCTACTACATTTAACATCAAACTTCCTCCATATCCAATAGCTAGAATCAGGAAGCCAAGTACCAAATTTTCCAAACTACACTTCCTCACAGTTAAGCCCCTTAAAAATAACTACATGTTTAACAATGGCTGCATCTTATTGAGAGACTTCAATCAAAGATGACATGCTCACAAGACCATGGGGGCTGGAGATGCCTCCATCAGGTTATATAATTCCGTACTTATACTAAATTTAGAATATTTAAAATAACCTGAAAGAATAGCTAAGCTATGAGAGGGATCTTCCTTGTGTAAGGCTAGAAAAAGCAGCTTGCCTGGATACTTTGCAGGAAGAAATTAGAGGAATGGAGAACTGGAAGGGAAAGGAGGCTCAGATTGCTGAGGGACAAGACTGTCCTTCACAGACAGTGGTGGACCTGCAGGATTCCCTCCATTTTCTGCAGTGCTTGGACCAAGAAGCAGCACCCTGACAGAACAGAGATGGAATGGCATCTTACTACAACTGCAGTGAAAATTAAGTGTATTACTCCCAATATTGCAAGTAAACCCTCTTGAAGCTTTCCCCAGAGTAGTGGCCTAGGCTGACAACTTTCATCCTGGGACAAAGATTGACCAGCCCATACAGAGCATCTATAAGGAAACACATCTGCTGTCCACTCAAGTCACAAAAGACAAATTCATCTGCCTGAACTAGCAAGCAGAATTATTTCACTGTTTTGTTCCGTGTTAAGATGTAAACATTTCAGAAAACACCAGTTAAAAAGTTCAAAAAATTCTCCAATTAAAGGTGTTTAATTAAAAGGTGTTTAATTTACAACAGTAGAGGAAACATATTTAGGAATTAACCAATATTCATCCATTTATGCTCATTTTCATTTTAGTGTTTCTTATAAAGTTTTTGAATTTACTCTCTACATCCTATCTTCTCATTTTTATTACCTAGTTATCTCCACAGGATGGATGCAAAAAGATTTCCATCAGCACATTTAATGAGAAACATTTCTTTCAAGCAAGGCACAAAATTTAGATTTATTTATGTAATTTGATTAATCCAAATTTTTGTTTTACATTAAGTACAAAAACCAACTTCAACGTAGGTGTAAATACAATTTCCACAAAGAGGTTCAATGAGATTTAAAATCAGTTGTGTATCCAGAACCATAAAGCACAATTAAAAGCAGCCCAGGATATACAGATTGCTTACCATAACTGCAGAAAGAAATCATAACATATGAATATATTTAACAACCTCCAGTTATAAGTTATCTCCATTCTAATCTTTCATTTGAAATGCATATAGCAATGTGTACCTGACAAAGGAAGCATTAAAGAATGAGAAGTGCCCATAAGTTTTACTCAAGCTGAGGCCTAAACGAAACACATACACAATTAAAAATTAAATAACAGAACAATGACTTAAATAATTTGGTTGAACATTTCTAAGAGCATAAATGGTAAGATAATACAGAAAAATAGCAACAGGTTCAAAGACTTACTTCTCAAAGAACTTATGGTGTAATGTAGCTGCCCAAAATATTTTAACCTTATAGAAAGTCGTATTTCCAAGTTTGGTACGTTTATATTTTCTAGATGACATACATTTAAGACAACCATCCGTGAACTTATTTACAAATAGAAGCTTATTCAGTTTAAAATCTGTATAAAAAAAATTAGGTTTGACACTACCCATAAGGCAATGGATGATACATACCTAAGATAGCAAATCACATAATGAAAGCATAAGCAGAAGAAAATATTCTTTAACTTACTATTTAAATAAACTGTGAGACTTTAATTATAGTTAAAGAGGAAATCAAAGAATAGGCATTTCTAAGTCACTAAAACACCAAAGTACTGAGAGTTTTTTCATATGCAACAGGAAATTACTTTAATCTGTGAAGCCACTGTGCCATGACTTCTGGGAAAACCTAGTATTTTTATGGTTATCAAATTATCAGACAGTTTCATTACCAGAAATCAGCAAAAAGTTTGAGAACACAATTTTACTTAAGTAAGCAAAAAAAAAAATTTACTCTGAAGTCTAGCTTTTGCTAACATCTAAAAAAAACCCCAAAGTCAGTTTTACCATTCACTCCACTGAGTAAAGACCAGTTTCAAACTTTTTATTGATATGGTTTTAACAACTTCCTTTTTGCATTTCCATCAGCTTCAATGATAGCTAAACCTTAAAATTCAATTTCTCAATGTTGCCACATTTGCCCTGCAAAGACCGCAAGCCCAGATTTCATAAACTGTGTGTCATTTAAATTTTAAAAATAATTTTTGCATTTATCTTAAGTTTATAAAAGATTTTTTCCAAAACTTAAGGCAAAAAACAAGTTTTATTGGTTATCTTTCTTTAAATCTGAGCAGGTGTATGAGGCAGTTTAAATATCAAAAAAGCTAACGCCATATACAGTATTACCAACAAAAATAAAGAATAAGGCAGCATGCACCCTTAAGATGACAAGAAAATTTAATTTTACAAGATGTTTAAATAATCCAAAGGCAAAAGTGTCTGTCTCCTCTAAGAGTATCTTCATAAAACATGGAAATTTTAGAGGACATCAAGTTACTAAAATATTCCGTTCAACGTTTATACAAATACATTACTACAATTATAAGTTTACATACAATCAACTGACATCTCAGTGTTAACTAATTTCTTAAATTTACAAGACAAACATAAATAAAGCTGTTAAAACAGGCAAGTACAGTACTGAGCTATCATTCAGCACAATGTAGTTTGTATTTCTTTCACCTTGAAAAGAATCAGATTAGAATTGTGCGAAGTCATTCTCCAAACCTAGAAATAAAATAAAAGAGAATTAAGTGTATCTATGCAGGTTTTACACAGCACAGGTATATTCCAAATGCCTAAGTCCTGTTTTCAGGCATGTAATTTACCATTTAACAACTTCTCTGTTCTCAGAAGAGGCCACAGTCTTTAAGGTTATTTTTAATAATGACATCAGTTACAGCATCGAAAACAAACTGCACATTTTTTGTGTCTGTGGCACATGTAAAGTGAGTGTAGATTTCCTTCGTGTCTTTTCTCTTGTTCAGATCTTCAAACTGGCACTGAATGTAAGCAGCTGCTTCTTCATAAGTGTTTGATCCTAGAAGGAGAAAAATCATCAGTAGGCAGGTTTCAGACTGATAAAGAACAAGATGTATAGTGTATCTCTGAAGGAAGTGGTTCTTTGGAAACAGTTAACCTAACCTGAAGAGGAGTAAATCCACAGCCACTGCTTTAAGATACCATAAGTAACACTTGAAAAAAACCTTTTGGACATATTTTTAAGAACAAAAACTACAGAGTCAATTCAATTCCAGCTCCAGGAAGAGCTTTTCCATGGCAGTGGCTGACACATCAGAATAGTTTGGGTTAGAAGGGACCTTTAAAGGTCACCTAGTCCAACCCTCCTGCAAGGAACCAGGACATCTTCAACCAGGTCAGTAATGTTGTTCCCAGGGACGGGGCATCTACCACCTCTCTCTGGGCAACCACCCTTACTGTAAATAATTTCTTCCTTATATTTCATCTGAATATACCCTCTTTTAGTTTAAAACTATTATCCCTGTTCTGTAGGAGCAGGCCCTATAAAAAGCCTTCCTGATTGTTCTTACAAGTCACCTTCAGGTACCAGAAGGCTGTTAGAAGGTCTCCCCGGAGCCTTCTCTTCTCCAGGCTGAACAAGCCCAACTCTCTCAGCCTGTCCCCATAGCAGAGGTGCTCCAGCCCTCTGAGCATCTTCGTGGCCTTCTTATGTTTGGCACCCCAGAGCAGGTGGGGTCAGACCAGAGTGGAGTAGAGGAGGAGAATCACCTCCCTCAACCTGCTGGCCAAGCTTCATTTGATGCAGCCCAAGATACAGTTGGCCTTCTGGACTGCAAGCATCACTGTTCCCTAGACTAGGGTAGGTTCCCTAGACTAGGTAGGTTCCTTCATTCCGGTTATTCACTTCCGTTTTTTATGTCCCAAACTCAAATAAATATGTTTGGCATACATATTTCTCCCAGGCTTTTTACCTCCACATGCTATTTTCCATACAATGGAATAGTCTGAAGTTACAATGAAGATGACGCATAAAAAGGCTGAGACTTGTTAAACAAAATTATCCTCTTTCGCCATATATTTTCTGCATAAGCCACCTACTGCTACCATGTATGTACACTCCCTGTTCTAATAAACTTCCATGTATCCTTAGGGATACCTACCAGTGAAAAAAATTACATCTAAGTTCAAAAATAGGAGGAAATTGGAAAAAAGAATAGGCTAAGTAAATTCAGCTGAAGAGAGTTGCGACAGTAAGATTTAAATCAGTGCACCAGAATTATTTCACCTAGTTAAGACGACGAATCTGACTTAGCACTATTTGTGACGCATAAAAACAACTTCCCATCTTAAACTTTATTTACACATTTTAGACATCTAGAGTGATTAAACTCCTCCCGATTTGTGCACCAAAAAATGAGGGAAGTTAAGCAAAAATTACTTGACTCCTGTGCCCCCTCCAATACCTGCATATTCAGGGTAGCAAATAGTTAGAGGACTCCTTTTGATTTTTTCTTCAAAAAGATCTTTCTTGTTCAGGAAGAGAATAATAGAAGTGTCTGTGAACCATTTATTGTTGCAGATACTGTCAAACAATTTCATGCTTTCATGCATCCGATTCTGTAATTGGAAAAAAAACACCTTGTTATATTTTATCAGACTTTTGTAACTAATCAAAAACATGTGTCCTGATTTTTAGTACTAATGAACCAGCTAAGTTATGAAACTAAGTTTCTAGCATACAGAATCATGTTTTACCACAGGAACATAAAGAGGTCAAGACCACTACAAAGAATCACACAGCAAAGTAGGGGTTGGAAAGGATCTTCAGAGACCTTCTAGTCCAACCTCCTGCCAAAGCAGGTTCACCTGGAGCAGGTTGAACAGGAACGCATCCAGGCGGGTTTTGAATATCTCCAGTCCACAACCTCTCTGGACAGCCCATTCTAGGGCTCTGGCACCCTCAACGTGAAGAAGCTTTTCCTCGTGTTGAGATGGAATTTCCTATGTTCCAGTTTTTGCCTATTGCCCCTTGTCAATGGGCACCACTGAAAAGAGCCTGCCCCCATCCTCTTGACACCCGCCCTTCAGCTATTTGCAAGCATTGATAAGATCCCCTCTCAGTCATCTCTTCTCCAGGCCAAATAGCCCCAGCCCCTCTCACCCTGTCCTCATAAGAGAGGGGCTCCATTCCCATGACAATCTTCACAGCCCTCCACTGGAAAGAACATTTTAATGAGTTGGGTTTACGTGACTACTTTTTCATTTTTATTTTTCCTTACCTCCAGGCTTAAGTTGTTTAATATTTTAGATATTTTTTGGTGTGCTTTGATATTTTGCAGTAGATATTCTACAGGAGTTGCTGAGTTACATGAATTTGTCTCATACTGATTAGATCTTCTGGAAACTGAAAATTAAATTCTGCACCTAACTGAGATTCCAGTATAAAAAATAAAAAAGTTTGTTCTACAGAACGAGACTCAAGTGAGCACGTTTTTTTCTCTTACCTAAATTTTAACTTTGCAGAAAAATTATCCAACATGTAATTTAGCCAAGCTCTAGTTATTTAAAGTAGCAGGATGCTACCTATGACCTCCTTTGATTATATTTTACTTTGAAGATTCTGTTATTTCTCTTTCCTCCCCAAACTATATAAGTTGCAGAACATGAAGAAGAGCAAAGACGTCTCTAATGATTCACACAGAATAGATAAGCATCACTTCAGACCACTGTGATAGTAAAAAGCATGCACTCTGTGCATATGGATATGGAAGAAATCATACCCTGAAAGAGGAGAAAGGAGTGGAGGGGGTTTGAAGGGAGAAGGAAGAGAGACATTTCTGACACTAAGAGATCAGAGAAACATATTTAGAAAGAAATGAAAACCAAAGACTGAGGAAGGAGGGGAAATCAAAACATGTGGTAAAGTAGAAACAGATAAGCAATTTCTTATTATATACTTCTAGCATCAATAAAGAGACTAAAATGTGCATTACTGACAATCTATCCTCATTAATTTATGTGTCCTTTAAAACATGAAAGACTGTAGCTGAAAAGAACACTTGTCTCGTAGCATTCCTTCTGAGGATACGAGGAAATACTTTGAAACCCAAAACCATTAATTCTATCACCATTTCTCCGAAACCTTTTACACAAAACCCATTCATCTTGTAAAGCAGTAATACTCTAAAAGATGTATTTAATGCTTTCCTTTCAAACTTGTTTAGTTTCTATCCAACAACTGACTTGTTTCAACATTAAGGTACTTGCCATTTCCTCATCTTCAGCCAAGACCAAGTCATAATCACTTAATGCCACACAAAAAATAATTGCTGTAACACCCTCAAAACAATGAATCCACTTCTTCCGCTCTGATCTTTGGCCTCCAACATCAAACATTCTGCAAAACAGAAGTGCAGAGCAGGGAATGAACTTCAGAATTTCTAGCTAAAGTGTGAGATCAAAACAAAACAAAGCTTATTATTTACAAATAATTTGTACTAATTTGATTAATGAAGTTAATTGCACTTTATAAAAGAAAAATACAGTTAGCTTTACTAAATATAAACTAGGTGAAAGTGTTATTCAACCTTTAACCCAAATGAATGAGAAGTCTGAAGTAGTAAAAAGTATTGATCAACAAAGCAAGATTCTTTAAGAGCAAAGTTGTGTCTTTTTTAATACTTGGAAACAATGCCATACTAAGGAAGTTGGATACAAGTAACACTGACTTAATTATTGTTGGTTTAGTATTCTGGATATAAATATATAAAATCTAATGTTCACTTTTTCAAATTTAATCTGGAATCTTTGAATCCTGGTGAGTTTCAGCTTCTCTCTCCCCTAAATCAAATTGCAACTTGATCTGTTTTTCAACTGTCCATGTTTAACTGGGAATTTTTTTAAGGGACACTGAAATAATTTTCAGAAGTCTCTTAAAAGACAAAATAAGCATTATATAACAAGAATAAAAATCTTCCCCTCTAATAAATGCCATGGTTTGTTTTTGGTTTTGTTTTTTTTTTTTTTAATGCAGTTAAATGGGAGAAATAGAGCAACAGGAAAAGAAGTACCAGAACTTCCCAGCAAAGGATTAGCAAACTAGCACATCTGAATGGATTTGCTTTTTTCTGCTAACGGCTTTAGATAGCTATTTACTAACTATTATGGGCTACAGCCACTCTGAAGAACAGAACTTTCATTAGACATCATTAGGAGATTCAAGTATTTTGCAAGCCTGATTAAAAGCATCTTGATACAGCGAACTCTGAAGGGAGTAGGGTGGCAGAGGCAGGACCCAGCACCAAAAACACCAGTAAAGACGAACACTGGTATCCTGAAATTCAGTGATTCAGTGATATATACATGGTAAGATCTTCTCAAAGAGAAGGAACAGAATTTTTCCACCTATCTCTTTCCTATTACAGAAGTCTGTTGACTTCTTGTCATGACTTACAGCTTCAAAACAATGCAAGTACGTCACACATTACTTCCCTCGCTACGTCAGTCAATATTCTATCATGCAAAAATTTGTTTTCTCCTACTTACAAGCAAATTAAATTACTCCTTTTAAAAGAGGACTAATATTTGTCTTCAGGGGTTTTCACAAGTAATTTTAACTTTTTTCTATGTTGTCAGAAAAAAAAGAACTTAGAATCCAGTAGATATAAAAACATTCAAATGGGAGGGGGAAGACAGAAGAGAAAGAACAGAGGACAGACCAGTTCCTACATCTCCATCCTCTTCGCTGTAAAGCAGTAGAATGACCAGCTCTGTCACGAAAGCCTTATTTGGGTAAAAATGTCATATGAACAAGAAGAGAAATGCAGAGCAGCACAACAATTGTTAAGATGCACAGTTATAATTCTTGTAAAGCTATTCCAGCACAGGTTAACATCATTCAAAATTATGTTACTAATAAGGCTATCACACTGAGGACTTTTAGTAGACAGTAGAGAATGTAGGGTTAAACAAAAACCAATCTCGTTCTTTATAGTGCAGAACAGAATACAAGACAAATTTTCCAATGAGATTATAAAGTGACTGTCACATTAAGACAAATCACTGAACTAAATGTAAAGCGTTAAAGACACTTCTCCAGTCACCACTCTAATAAGCTATGTTACTTAGCTACATTAAGTGGGTAGCTTTCTGAATGGTTTATCTGTGATTGCGCAAATTTGAGGACTTACGAAAGGTCCTTTAATTAGTACGAAATGTTTTTGAAAGCTAATATTGCCAGATTTGCCAGGTTGTGCTTCTTTCAGACTAAGCAAAGAACATGATTCCAGTACCCATACAAAATGTAATGTGGGCCAAAAGGACACCAGATATTTATCATTATTGCTTTCACTTCTTTTTTTAAGGTCATACAAGTGGTTGATTCCAGTCCTCACCATTGCCAAAGACACCGAATTTGACAAATATTATTTTGAGGCAGGATGTTTGCAAAAATGTGCTACTTATCTGGAAAGCCTCACATATTACACACTTATTAAAATCAATCTATTTATTATTCCCCTTTCCTCTTCTCCCCTGGGCTGTAAAATTGTGGGGCGTACACAGATTAAAAAAACCTGCTGATTTAACGTTAGTGTACAACATGACTAGCTAAATTGCACCTGAAGGAATTCAATTACAGTTGTTATTTTTAGAAATCTTAAAAGTGTTCCAAGTTGCTAGATTTTTATTTAAAAAAAACACAGTAAGAATAAGTAGAGGAGGAAACAAATTCAAATAAAAACAAAGACCCTTGGCTTTCTGATCAAAAACTGTCATAAACATCATAACCTCTACTGAGGTCTTCTACTTGGGTATACTATTGGTGCAAGTGACAATATTCCTTGCCCATTTAATGTTCTACAATGGAATAATGCCACCTCAAAAACACAGAATTTAAAAATGAAAAAAGGATTCCTTAAAAGCGTTCCTTACCTTCAAAGACATCTGTGAGGGCAAGTCTCAGGATATCACCCTATGTACATGCAAGTCAGCCACCTATTCCTACTCACTTCTCAAATAATCAGTGATGCCTATACCCATAGGAAGATATTTTGTACTTGTATACCTTAAGAAACTTAAGAAACAACTTAATTAAGTTGTTTCTTAATGTTTCTAGTTACATTCTAGTTGTTACTTTTGTCAATTCTAATGCCCATTTTTTATAATTTTGTACTAAGACCTAAATTTTCATAGCTTTTTTTTTTTAATTTTCAGAAGAACCTTTCTACAAAATACAGTGTTATTTAAAGACAAAAGTGGTAAATAAGCAGACTCAACTACTGAAATAGTCTACAGAAACAGGATAAAATGACTTGGCATTTGCATTTTAGATTGAATTAATAGTCAAAGCTATGTTGACCACTTTATAAAGAAGGTTGAAACGAGGCTAAACCTGACAGGATAAAATTGGGATAGAGTTAATTTTCCACCTAATAGCTGGTATAGTGCTATATTTTGGATTTAGCATGAGAATAATGTGCTAGCAACAACCAAAACATCAGTGTGTTAAGTGGTGCTTACACTAAGTCAAGGACTTTTTAGCTTCCCATGCTCTGCCAGCCAGGAGGTGCACAAAAAGCTGGGAGGGAGCATAGCTAGGAAGTTGACCCAAACTGGCCAAAGGGACAGTCTATACCATATGATATCATGCTCAGTATATAAGCTAGGGGGAGCTGGCCAGAAGGAGAACTGGCTGAGCACTGGTCAGCAGGTAGTGAGCAACTGTACTGTACGTCACTTGTTTTGTATATTCTTTTATCATGACCATCATTGCTATTATTTTCTCTTCCCTTGCTGTCCTATTAACCTCTCTATCTCTTTTTTTTGTTTTCCTTTTCTTTTTCTTTCTTTTCCCCAATTCTCCTCCCCATCCCACTGGGGCAGTGGGTAAGGAGTGAGCAAGGGGCTGCGTGGTGCTTAGTTGCCAGCTGAGGTTAAACCAAGACAGTCTGTCTTGGAGTTACGCCTTTTATAGAACTGTAATCATATGGTCCTTATAACAGTCCTAATATTCAGTACAGCCTGGAAGTAGCTACCTGCATACAAATTCATTGAGAGTGTAGAAGAATCTAAACACACAGTTCCTACAATTAGGAACTGAACAAGAAACATTAGCAAATGAGTGAGAAGATGAACAGCGCCTCAGAATATTGAAGACCTCTCGAAGCTGAAGCTTCGCTAAGGACTACTCTTCCTAGGTTTGCAAGAGATTCATTCCCAGTTACCAGTTATTATTTTATGGATGAATACGAATTCTGCATACTTAAACTCTAAAATAAGGAAATTAAATGTATTTCCACAGTAGTGAAGCATCCACAGTACAGCACTTGCAATTCATTCACATGGAAAAAAAATTTCCATAAAGAAACAAATATATTGTACAGATATGCTGACGACAATCTCTGAACAATCTAAAGGCAGATGCCATGTGAGTTTTACTAAGTTTTCTTCTAATTCTTACTGATCAGTAAGAGGTAGAATATTTTTACATTTATACTATCCTATGCTTTCATCATCAATATCTTTGGACATTAAATGTTCAGAATATTAACACTGTTTTGTAAATCCCATATCACAGGAAACATAAGCCACATTCTTTCATCACTAAATAAAGTACTGTTTAAAGCACAACAAATATCTGAATTCAGTTCTTCAGAAAAATGGGTTTACTCCTTCATACAACACCAACAAACATATACAAGCCTCCGGCTCTCCATTATTCTGAATTACTACAGGAGTTCCAACAGGTCCCACAGCCCTTCATGAATTGTGCCATGCATGAGGAATTTTTTTTTCAGAAAAAAGCCAAGGGGGAATCAAACTTGTGGTTAGACGAGGTTGTTAAATTACATCATTGCAAGTCCACCTTCTAGAACTTCACAGAAACCGTTAACAGACAGATGAACATACACCATGATTCACATACTTAAAATGAAGATCTTTGAAAGTGAAGTGAGTTTCCACTATTCCTGTAGTTTTCACTCTAGTCCTGAGAACGTCCTGCTGGGTTGGAATGTAGCTGGTTTGTGCTATTCTGTCCAAGTCATTCAAGTAACTGAAGGTAAAAATAAACACTGCTTTCAGTTATTCATAAAACAGTAACATGATAACTACAAAGAATTACAGAACCTCTAGGTCCATTCATTGTATTTTGCTTAACTTTCATTTGCCTTCTCTGAGACAAAACAGAAGACAAGTAACAATTTACATCAATTTTCCAAGGTATTTTGAAATAAGCTTTAGAGACACAAAGATATTTCATCATAGGAGAAAGAAAACTTATGTAATTGACTTCACTACACAAAATTCTTTTGAAATCCCAAAATGCAAACATGGTTCCATGTACACTGATGCTATTTGCACTAACTAGAAGAACACCTTCATCTTTGTCACGTACTGAACTACAAGTTACTTTGAAATATAACCAAAGCCCAAAAATTACCCTGGATTTGATAATAGGTATGAAAAGAACAACCCAATGTTTTAGCCAGAATTGATGTGTTTATGAAAATACTTAATACATAACAATTAACCTTCTATTGAGAATTTCTAATTGCACACATTTTTACAATAGTAGACTCACACTGCCAAAATTCTCACAATGCAGGCCAAGAAGCCCAGCATTTCTAAAAGCCATACAAATCTTATTTGTGCTTTTCCCGCAGTAAACAGGCAAAGCATTACGAACTTTCAGTGTAACCAGAAGTTAGCAACTTTAAGGATGCAATCGTATGGCTAGAAGAACAGTTCCTCATGAAACTGGAGGCAGAAGTATCTAAAACAACAGAACAGAGGAAGTTACTAGGGGAAAGTTAATGGTCCTCCAAATGAAGCACTCCATACTGAAGAAAGTTTATACAAGTGGTAGCTCTTAAGTCAAGAGATCTGTCATAGTGAGCTCAGCTTGTTGCCATCTACCCTCTGTACCCTTAGAACAACTTCAGTAAACAAGTAACAAGCATGCTGAAAGTATCAGTGTTATTCCAATACTATTTGATCCCACTGCTGTTCATTCAGCATGCCTATAATTACATTACTCCAGCTGTCGTCTTCTCACAGTTACCTCACCTGCATGTTGTTTATTTATGTACAGTTATTCTAAATAATGAAGTATCTTATTTTAAAGAAGATGAAAAACAACTTCAAACACTACATAATTCAGAATTATAAAGCTTCAATAAAATGCCTTATAAGGCCAGTATCATTGCTATGCCATTCTTTACCATCTTACACCTGGACTCTTTTCCTTGTCTGACTACCATTACTTGCTGATATCACATCTTATTTCTTACATCTTTGATTCTTTACTATTTTACTTTTTAATGAAGCACCCTAGCATAGGAGAGACACATCCTGACTTACATTTGCTCAACACATTTCTAACAGAGACCCTTAATTAACAACAAAAAATGCAGCAATGACAAAATGCACAAGAAGCTCTATTATGAACATGAAAGCAGTATCTTTAGTAATGCATCATGTAACCAAGTTTCATGGACATGACCAGATACTGAACAGGTACTTGAAGTCATGTTTTTGTAATAAAAATGCTATTAAAGCACCTTAAAACAATTTTAGTCTTCTTCAACAGGATGAAGCAAATGGTCAGAACATGACCCAAATTCATAAATATATCAACACCTCTTCCTTTCTAACTCTGAAGCACAGTTGGAGCTTTTTGACCCAAGTAGAAAATCTTTGTCCAGATATTTCTAAATTTTCCATCTACATGTGAGCAGAATTCCTCAAAAGAAAAGATTTCCTTCATATTCCTTTAGCTACTACTTACAAGACAGACAATCTTGTTTGTCACACAGTACTTACTAGGCAGCAGAGTCGTTAAGCTGGTATTCTCTAGATCTGTTGAAACAAGCTTGAACTCCACTGTCTTTCCACAGTCTCTTGATAACTCCAGCAAGCTCTGCAGTCATAAAGCCTTCTTCTGCTGCCCCAGCTAACACAAAGAGTTGACGAGCATCATCCTTTAGGATGTAAACAGAAAGTGGAGAGACAAGCATTGAGAAAGGCAACAGACATATCATCTAAGAACTATATTCAGCAAACAAGTTACTTAACCTGGTAAACATGAATGTGACAAAAAAAACCCACACAACCCACACAAAACTGTGAAGGAAAACAATTGCTTTTAGTGTTCTGTGTAAGACAGTAATTCCCACATTTCTGAACAGAAAAGGATTAGTAAACCTAATTTCTCATTAGCTGATAAAGCTTCTTCTGTTCTAACTTGAACTTGGCTTCTATAAGCAGGAGTAGTAACACATTTTGTGCTATAGTCTAAAGTTAACCATATTTGCTTATCAAGTACCACAAACAACAGAATGGTTACAATACGTACTAGAACTTTCAGAAAAGCAGATGTATATTGACTGAAGAAAATACATTAATCACTTAAGCTTCAAAAACCAACTTTGTCTGAAAGTGACAAATTATCATTTCTTCCCAAATCATGCATCAGGAAATAGAAAAACACTTCTTAAAACTTTTCCAGAACAATCAGTTACAAATACCCATTACCATAATTATTCTACGGAGACCAAGTTTTCTTGGTAATGCAATATCAAGCAAACATCAAGATTTTTAAGAGAGCAAATGCTGAATTTTAAGACTACATATAACTTCCTTTGAGAATGAGACTGATGTCAATCCACAAGTCTCCTTTAACAAAATTTGACCAGTCGGCTAACTTTATCCAATTCTGACTGAGGAAAGAAACTTTAAAATGTTACACCTATAAGGCATTGGAAAAAGAAGACAGCAGCTGTGTAGAGGAAAGAGATTAACATTAGCAGTCTCCTGAGGGTAGTTGCTTGACCTTGGTTATTAGCTGTATGTGATTTAATGGCAAGGTATGTCAGCCAGAAAAATCAACATACTTGTGGCTTGTAACAACTAACCACAGCATGTACTGTTTGTCCAATAATTAAAAGACAGACAGACAACAGATGAACTTGGAAAAACGAAAAGACAGACAGTGCACATCAGCTGGGGACTGAAAGGATTTCAAGAAAGAGAAGGGTTAAAAAAAAGCAGCATATAAGGTTATTCTCACAAAACAGTAAAGTTAAGATACAGGTGGAATCTATAGAAAAATCTGGTTCTATCACCTCTGCTGTTCAAACAATAAGCTGGGGGGGG